TGTCTCCATCCGCCTTGCCAGAGTATCTGCAGCATCGAATAGACAAGGCCTTTTACCAGAGCGCACCCGCGAATGAAGCCGACTTTGGCGCCGGTTTCATAGCTGACAGCGCCGGTTTTCTCTCTAAAGGCAAATTCCGCTCTCCGCTATCCCGACAGCGCTTCAGCGCCTGGACCTGCCACCAGACGACGAGGACGTGCTGCTTGTCGTAAAAATGCGGCGGTCGGCTGGAAGTCGTCTACGAACCGGGCGGACGAGATCGGGAAAGCCGAGGCGCTGTTTGTGAGCCGCGACGACTGGCGCTCGGTATGCGCGGTGTTGCTCGAGCACCACGCGGAGGAGTATGAGGAAAGCGAGGGTGGTACGGGTTTTGATCAGCCTTACGTCGATGGCTCAGACGAGAAGGACGAGTATCAGGACCCCGATGCAGCCGATGACTCTGACTCGGACGAATACACCGAAGGCCCGTCTACCTCCCGGCGGCGCACTCGCACCACGCGCCGGGCCAGATCCTCCTCGTGCTTACGCGCTGGATGTTCTTGATCATGACGCGCTAGTCGGAAAGCTCGGATTCGGACGCAGAGGGGAAGAAGAACGCGTAGGTCTCGAGGCAGGTTTTCGTCTGACGCGCTGTGAGTTTTTGTGGAGCAGACATGGAAGATGGAGAGGGGACGAGAAACAGGCACGGCATGTAGTCTTTCCAACCCAATCGGAAGAAGCTGCTTATTAGCCTCAAAGCCTCCCTCGGAGAAATCACAGGTCAATTAGGATTCGTTATGGCCGAAATTCGCCATCCAGTTGAGCTGACGAAGAGGCCACGCGAGGTATATTGGACCTGCTAGTGGCGAGCCCCCAGGATACTCGATGCGCACTGTTCTATCCGAAGCGGAGGATGAAGCGTGAGCCACCGAATCACATCAAACGAGGGAAATAATCGGGCTAAAGAACGCCACATTCAAGGAGTAGAGACTAAGCTGTATGGATATTGCAGGGGCCAGAAAACTGTGCAGTAGTAGTCGATTCGCCTTGCTGGGAATAACCGAGACGGTTTCGTTCACCGACTCTTCAGCAAATCTCGCGACCCTACTGTTGGAGACTGGGTACTTGACCACGTAAGCGTTTCCGGTGTAACACTGTAGCTACCAATCGCCACATCGGGTTCATGGGCCTTCATAATGAAGGCCTGCATCCTATTAATAGACTATAAAAATTTGGTGAATTTACATGCCGTTTCGAAGCCGGAGTGAATTTCCTCCGGCGAACTTTCCCAAAAAGGCAGAAAACGGGGTAGTTGACCACCCACCAAAATACGCTTCTGAGGGCCGAAATATAGCACCCTGGCATCTGCAATTTCATTTTAGGTTCCATGCCCACGTTCGACGTTGGCGAGAGAGGTCACTGGGCCCTGTTCATGCTGTATGAATTTCATTGTACATGGGTGGATATTTGGTCAAATTGATGTGTTCGAGAAATTGACTCCCATGCGAAGCAAAGAGAGCTTTGAGGGCCAAAGTATGTTGCCGATGGTTTCATACGAAGTATATCAATGTCTCAGAGCACATATATTCACCTCTTGATGCCCACGGCTTCTTAAAAAAATCCAGAACTCACGACCATAAAATTTGGGTGATTTGATGTTGTGCATTACTGGGAGAAAGAAATAGAGCGTACATGGTGTCAAACAACATCTCAAAGTTGGGCGCTGACAACTAAGATGGTCCATTTCCGATCTCAGGCCTGCAGCATCAACGGTGCGCTTGTGGTACGAGTGGTCATCTTGTGCCGCCTGATATCAGATTTCAAACATTCATGACCCACTCCCCGACAGTAAGTCGGATGAGAATTGTCCGAGGATTAAATATTACACCAATGATCTGCACTATACCGTTAACGGGCCTGTGGTATGGAACAAAGAAAAATACAAACATACTCAGAGCGAATAGCTCGAACTCTCAGGCCAACCTCACCGCGACCATCATGGACCCAAAGTCGGCGAAGCTCATGGACTTGTCTGGAGAGGTCGAGAACTCTTCCAGCATTTCGATGATCTGCACAGCGCTCGTTAACGCTGCTGGACGCGGGCAGGTGGAAGGAGAGAGATGCACACTTCATCTGCCTTGAGCGTGTCGCCGATGAGCTTAGTCATGTTTCTCAGCCCGATTCTTCAATCGGAGGTCGAGTCCGGCTCGAATCAGTCCTCAGTCTACGAATTTCGTCTGAATTCAATTAGCTACCAACCCAGATAGCTGATATAAATTCCAGCATCGAGGAGAGGATATACCGACTCGGCAGCGGATGGTCCATAATTGCCTCTCCTTCCAATTCTTCAATTTCCCGGCAGGAGGTGCCTCGATTCGTGAACATCCGATGTGCAGAGGACTATCCCGGTGGATCCGCTCCCATTGTTCTCCTTCGATTCCCGCGCGAGTCGTGCGGAATGTTGTTCAGGTTTGCGTTTTAGTTCCCGTCGGTTAGCTACTCGGATTCGACCCGTATATATCCCAGAACTGAGTCCAGATTAGAACGAATGGATGGCGGATGGTACGCAGTTGCTCTTGGTAGCCTGAAATGAAGCCGATTCTCACCAGGAAACACCGGTTCAATTCCGGCTCGCGTCATTGTGGCCTAGCGCTTAGTTAGAAGATTTGTCCAACATTTCAGTTCAATTTCGTTACCAACCTAAATTCAGGCCTGGCCATAGGCGAGACCCAGGTATGTAGAGATTGGATGGCGCATGGTCCACGACTGCTCCTGGTATTTCGGATTGCAGCCAGCAGGAGAGGTCGGTCGAAATCCGGCTCGGGTGATATTATGGTCTCTTCATCTTTTCGAGTTTTTTTTTGGGTTCAAATTTCGTTACCCACCAAACCCAGGCATGTATATTCGAGCACCAAGGACATGGAACGGCTCGATGGCGGATGGCCCGCGTCTGCTTCTGATTTTCGATGTCTAGTTTCTTATCTTCAGCAGGAAACGCCCGGTTCGAGTTATAACCAAGGTGTTTCATATCTGACTTTTTTTTCGTTCACTCCGATCTCGGGCGTCAGCGTCGGCGTCCAAACACTTACACAATGCAGTTGACATCCCGGCGTGCCCTATGTACGGACGTGCAATCAAATCCATTCACCCGCTCTCCGTCTATTCCATCCGAATTCTGGTCTAGACATATGGCGGACCCAGCGCTGCAACCCCATCAGCTCCGTCAAGAGCATAAATCAAAACCACGCAAACTCACCCGTGCGGAACAACCCAAGCGTAAACTCTACAACGAGCAACAGTACCCCGCCGCCTGGCGCGAGCCGTAGCACCTTGGGGACAAAGCCCTTGTACAGCGCCGCGGGGCCCTCCTCGCGGAAGATCGTCACGAGGGCAGGGTACGTCCAGTTGTATTTCGGCGCGACGCCCGCGACCTTCTGCGCGCCTTGGATGCGCGATTTCACGACCTAAGGGGCGTCAGTCTATAGTGTGCGTGGGTACGAAAATACGGACGTCGAAGCTGTGAAAATTGTGTCGTCAGCAGGAAATGGATTAAATGCAGCGCTGGGAGGGCATACGGGGTGTTCAATGCTGTGCCGGCAAAGCCGCCGACGGCGCCCGAGATGAAGTTGTTCATGAGCGTCGCTTGGGACGTCTCGGCCTTGGGGAGCAGCGCGCGGACCTGGAAGATGCACCCGAAGTAGCCGCCGTTCCACCAGAGGTGTCTCCAGAAGGTGGACTCCATGCCGGCGTACAGGCCGAGCACGCCGTTGGCCTTGATGATGTGCCGGACGACCTCCATGGGTCCTTTGAATGTGCTCGTCTTGTCCTGCATTCTAATTTTCCGATCATCGAGTTGACCACAGATTGCGCGGAGGTAAAAAAGGTAAACGTACTTTATTTTGACGAGCTCGAAGGGGACGACGACGAAGCTTTCCTGGGGGCCGGTGAGCGTTGTTTGAAAACAGAGCAAACAAAAGCAGAGTGCTCACGGTTGCCCCAGCACTGCAACCCGTCAAAATCGACAGCTGCTGCGTCATCTTAGTTTCGCCCGTCCACCCGAGATACGTCTTGCCCCAGAAATCGTTCGCCGCGCTGCATGAATGCCGGGTGAGACGCGATAAAGCATAGGGACCCGTGGTACATGCAATTTTACAGCGCGCTTGGGCGCTTCGAGGAGCAGCGGCGGGACGAGACCTATCACACGAGCACACGACCGGCGTCAGTCAAGCGAGTACGTTAGTGATGTGGAGCGTGTCGCACCTCGGTACAAGCGGCCGAAGCTGCGCAGGGGTCAGCGTAAGGATATGGGTAGGATGGTGAGGGCGCACCCCTCCTCCCGGACGATGGTCTGGAAACTCCCCACCAGGCCGTGCTTCGACTTGCCCGTCTCCAGCTGCATCCGCGTTTTCACCTAGCGCGCAAGATCGTCGTCACCGGAGGGGAGTCCAGTTAGCCGGGACACTCACCACATCTGAATTCATAAATTCAATTCTCAGGTCTGGAAGAACGCGTCGAGCAGCTCACCGAGGGGGTAGAATGTGAGGATCTCGGAAATGCCGGCGATCGCGCCGGCGGCAAAGGTTGCGATGAACGGGAGAGCTGGGGGAGTTCAGTGATGGGGAGGATGGGAGCAGCGAGTACGGACGTTTCGGTTTGTGGTCTGCACTGGCCATCGGTGCGGAGAGTGGGAGAGAAATGGGGAATCACGGAGTCACACGGAGGAACGGATCTGTGGATGGCGTCACATCATACATAGCGTGATTGCTCATCGGAGGTATTCGGCCGTCGAGACGTCGCTGTGCAGCCCATTGAAGAGGCCGGATACATTCCGATTGAGCCTCGACGTATCCGTGGTCGTCTTTTCTTGTTACGTTCCCGCTCAGTCACGACTCACCCTGATTCGTTGAAGAAACAGGGATTCGTTTGTACCCGGCTGAGTGTTGAACTCCCTTTCTGGTTCGATTTCTTTACCCATCTGGATTCAACGGGTGAGTAAATTCGTCCCAATGAAAGGTTACAATGACTCGATTGCGGATGGTCCGCGCTTGCTTCCGGTGGTTTTCAGGATTATTCTTCAGCAGGAGGTTGCCGGTTCGATTCCGGCTCGAGTTATATAGTAGTTGATGGTTTGGCTTTTGGGGCTTTTTTTAGTTCAGTTTCGTTACCCACCCGAATTCAACTGATATTTATTCGAGGACAAAGGAGAGCACAGAACAACTCGATGGCGGATGATCCGAAACTGCTCCTGGTTTAGCAGTCACAGTCCTCGTCTTCGCGTTCGACTCCGGCTCGAGACATGCTCGAATTTTTACCGACCCCCTGTACTTAAATGTGACCGAGATTCCAGGCATATTCGACTAGAAAGGAGAGGTTAGAACGACTCGATGGCGGATGCAACTGTCATGGGTACTAAGAACTAGAACTCCCGGCGCGAGGTGTCAGTTCGATTCCGACTCGAGTCGCAACATATGCGGTTTGGCTTGTTCAGCGTTACTCACCCAGATTTGATCAAAGCCAGTATGTATTCGAGAGTAGAGTATGGAGCGACTCGATGGCGGAGACATCTTCAGCCGGAGATGCCGGTCTGATTCCGGCTAGTCCCGCATTGACCACGGTTTTTTTAAGTTCGATTTGGCGCCCACATCCCGATTCATTTATCCCTAGACAGATTCGAGCACAATGGGCCGCTACTGCTTCCGTGTTTGAAATAAACTGCTCAGCAGCGAGGTGCCGGTTCAATTCCGTAGGCTCGGTTTGGATTTTTTGGTTGGCTATTTCGTTACCCGCCCTTCAACCAAGAGTTATATTTCGCGAAGTTCCATGTGGTCTGAATCGGTGGCCAACCCGGCCACAACAGCCTCTATCAAAGCCAACTCTGGAATTCCGAGCTGTGGATGACAATCCCTCGGCCACGATAACAGCTTTCAAAATAGAACACAGGCGCCCACTGGCACGTGTGGCTCGTCGGTAGACGCTCTGAGCGACTTCCTTTCTACCTCCAGGAGCAATGGGCGACCCCCTCAACAGGAACCAGAGTCACCCATGGATGAGAGGGCTCAGACCGAGATCCCGCCTGAGGCAACGCCTTACCATGCTAGCCCTTCACACAACCAGTCCGTCCCACTTTAACATCACCTTATTCTGAGCTTGTATGGCAGTGACAGCGCTCACAGATTAAGGAGCGGGTGGTTCAGTAATGCACATAACTTGAATATTAGCGGTGGGAGATTCGTCAAACACATACACCATGCAGCGGCCGTCGAGACTCCTGGTAGGCTGCCAGTGTATCTATTGGGTCCAAATTAACGCGCGGGGAGAGAATTCCGGATGATCCCTGTGGGAGACCTGGATCTACGTCGTGAAATACAGGGGAACTCCGGTGTGGTTGATCGCCGTCAGGGACGCCGAGTGCACGCTGTTCGCATTCATGGCTCTACATCCAAGATGACCGCGGCAATTTACTCCGGGGAAAACGCCGAGAAGGCGCGTTAAACATTTCCTTGGCCAAATTCATGCTCATCCTCCTTGATAGAATTGGCGTGAGGCTGTTTCACGATATGCAAACTTTCGGTGGGTAGCATCAGCGTGACTTTCCATGCTTATGTTGATGGACTATCTGCAGGCATCCCAACCTTGTTCAACTCTTTGGAACAGGAAGGTCCTCGAAGATACATGCGGCAATTTTCTACGACGGTCAGTGCCTCAGATCCCCGAGGCCACCTAAACTTCTCAATGATTCCGTGATTACGTTAGAGTTGATACCTTTTCGGCAAATTCTTGACGAGGGGGAGAGGGAGATTTAAAATTCATTGGAACACCATGCTTCGCCTATGTGGATCGTGCACTTTTATCATTTCCTGGTATGAGCCCCCCAGAGACATGTATCCATTAACATCTAGTTCGTTGCATAAATCCAAATTCTGGGTGAGGATCGCGGTATTGAACTTGGAAAACTGAGCTCAAGGCTCGCTGAATATCGCTCAATTTCAGGATGCATGTCAGTATATGGAGTCCGTTTCTGGAGCCATACAGTCGAAGTCCTAAAAACCCATAGTCCTGTAAACCCATAAGTCCTACTAGCCCATGGCTTTGGGGTGTCCACCGACCCTGTTCCCAATAAAAACCCATAACATTGCGGAACCCCATAATCCATGGGTAGGTCCAGGGTTCAAAACCCATACTTTAGGTCATGTGCGAGCGTAGTTGCCATATACGGCGCAAATTCTATGGCTAAACTCACCCTTGCCGTCTTGAAAAAGGGGTTTGAAGCAGTGACACGCACACTTAAGAAACGTCGGGACGCTCTTACAGCCAAATTGTCCATGGACGGGGCTGGAAACGATGTTGACGAGCAGGCTGTCCTTCACGAGTTTGAGACAGCTTCGGATGTGAAGAATTGCGGGAAGATTGAAGGTGGTGACGACGAGGACGATTCCGCTATCCCCAAACCCTCACGACGACAGGCGTTGGAGGCGGCATCGGTTCTTCGCGGGTATGTTGCGGACCGTGATGATGCATTTTCACGCCAGTTTGAGGCGATTTTGGCCGGCTTTGGGCGTCAAACCCGTCTTGAAGAAGCAAAGGGAATGCGCGACACACAAGTGACTGATTACTTCACTAGGATAGCCGCAGAGAAGTTGTAAGTAGCTTATCTGTCAATGTACACCTCCTACTAGCCCTGCAAACGGACCTTCTCCGTAAACCATACCTCCTTATAACCCATACCTTCGGACGTCCACGGCGGGGTATGGGTTATTAAGACTTCGACTGTACATGTACCGGTGAATCGATTGGTTTTGTGATTGTTTTCCATCTCATTCTGCTCCAGAGAATCGAAGATTATACCCTGTGGATACGATCGTCAACTCGTGGTCTCTGCATTGATTTGGCCCCTGACGAAGAGCGCTGGAGCGGCCAGTTCAACAAGCCACTTCATGCAACCTCTCACGACTTTCTTCTTGAAGCGAGCCAGGGGCCGAAAATCGTCGCGTCAATGTCACTTGAGGATTATCACCTCGGCTGTTACCTCGATTTCGCCACGGACTACCGGTTCTCAATTTCAAAACACTTATCAGTGAACCTCGGGGCGGTCATGCACCTCACAGGGCGTCACTACGAGGATTCAGTCGAAATGGTGTTTCTCTCCAGTTGTCGGATTTGGGATTCTGGTTGGCATGCCAAGGGCAGAAAATCAAGGATGATTCTGGAGAATGGCTGGACTCGGTAGGTTCCGCTTTACATTTTCCTGTTTGAATGCTCTTTGATTACCTGTATCAACCGAAGGATAACCTCTTCCGAAGTTGAAGGCGAATATTATTGCACAGTATCCTGCGACGCCCGGTTACCGCACGTGTGGCTGAGCCAGGCGAACCATATCTTCAAATGCCTCAAAGTAACCTCCACCTACAAGCGTTATGGTGTGCAGTTCGGTCCACATTGCCATACCCTTGATGATGTCCTGATTTCGCTCAGTACTTGTAGAGGGTGTGACATATCGAGCGAAGTTTGCTGGACCGATCGAATTCATGTGTTTACCAGCTGGATATTTCTTTTTATGTCCCATCGGAGTTCTTCAATCGGATGAACGGCCCGGGAGTTCCTTTCGGCATCCCGAATGCCCCGCTTACTGGTCCCTCGACCCATCCGGAGCTCAACGACTCAGCACTGAGGAGGCTGAGAATATTGGATTTCCATCTGTCGAGTTCCAAATGACGGCCTATACCTCATGGTGGTATACCCACATCTATGCCGGCCTCCGCCAATTTCACGAAGCTAAGGGCTTTAACCCGTACGGCCAGGACGTCGCCCTACACTTAGGGTACCCTCTTCTCCAGTTGTCTCCTGGGTTGGAAACACCATTTGCTCATGGTGAGTGAATATAAATTAATACCAATCATATTAATCCCTGCGATTGAGTAGTCTACGAGATCAATAGTGAAAGCGCAGACGATGAACCCATTGAGAACAAAAATTCCACAGGTATTTCTTGTCAATTGTGACTTCAACGACATCCAAAATGTTTCATCCTGCCAGATGTTTCTTCGGTCCAGAATGTGCATAACGACCCAGTGAGCCAAGCGACCGTCGATCCTTGGTATAACCTGGATGTCACTTCCGATGCCAGAGCACCAGCGCGGAAGCGCGATGTTGAGGAACAGATCTCGGACCAACGTATCAAAAAACTGCGGCATGTTCATCTCCACAGGTTCTCGCTTTTTGAAACTTACTCACGCATAGATTTGACTCCTAATTCGGCAATAGGGCTTCCTTCGATTCCTGTGTCTGTTTCCACGTACATGTACTTGAGTAGTCTTCCATCCATTCGTCTATAGTATGGATCTCTATACCGTCCTTGAAGCTTGGGAAAGGTTGGCGAGAAATGGACGAGGCGTGGTCGGCCCAACGCAAATTCCTGCGGGGATAATAATTAAGCAAGTTTGAACATGACCGAAATGCCCGGGATAAGGGCAGCTAAGTGTTAGAGCGAGGGAGAGCCAATTTTCAAGGATGGATGACTTGGAATATCTGCAACGTATATGAATTTAACTGTTACTGGTCATAATAACAGGTTAATCCACGAACGTAGTCGAACCAGATTATTTGCAGGGGTCCGAGCACCCGGTCAAGTGCACGGGGAGAAGGTATTGCAAGTTAACATACCATTATTGACGTGTTTTGAGAAATTAGATGTCCGGGCAATTACATGCCACCGTCTACGCCTCAATTGACGTGGATATTTGCGAATGTTTGTCCACACATTCACGCGCGTCGACAACACGTGCTAGTGAACTGCCACACTTGGCCGTACCTTGCTCTTTCACACACACGTCAATGATTGCGCTACTCTTCACGATCCTCGCGCTAGCTCTTCCGTTTGTCTACGCAAGCTATCGCGCATTGAAGAACGCGCCACCAGCCGTGGAACCCACTCCTATTCCCACTACCAAAGAGACTAACCTCGATCTGACTCGGCGAATGGCCACTTCCAAAGAGGCTAACTTAGATGGGATGGCCAATTCCCAAGGGGAAGAGCCCAAGAGCGAACCTTGGAGGTATCCCTCCGCGAGGACCAACACGTTCAGCCCCGACCACCAGAGACTTCGAGACCGCCT